GATACACGCCATGAAAACCTCCACAAAGCTTACATCTATATTCCCAACAATGAGAGAAATCAATACATTTTTCAAAAATATTCCTATGGGAGAAAAAGGAATTATTTCCTCTTGTTTAGTGTACAAACCAATGCAGAAGTACTATTTTTTTTAAAAATTATGTAAAAGCTGCAATGAAATTGAAAAAAAAGTCAGAAAACTAAATGTAGAAATCAATGTTTTAGTAGGAATTTCAAGGGTATTTGCTTTCATAAATAACTGTGTCAAAATATGAAGCCAAATTGATTCACTGATGAGAAGGAAAAAATAATGTTAAAAACATAAGAGTCTCTGCTGTATTGAGGAGGAGATGAGGGATGACGAGGTGCGATACAGCTTTTTTCATACATATATATGAAATACATACTTCATTAAAATCACTGCAGAAAGCCAACCTATGCAAAGGGAGTCAGAAAATAACATATCTTCCTTTTATGCACAAAAATGCTAGTCTCCAAAATATAAGATCCCAAAATACAAGCAATGAATCAGCATAATACGAATAGAATCAGAAAATTGTTTAGGTTGGAAGAGACCTTTAAAATCATTGACTCCACCTGTTAACCCCACACTGCCAGGCCCTCCAGGAAACCATGTTCCTCAGTGCCACATCTACATGTCTATTAAATACCTCCAGGGGTGGCAACTCAAATGCGCCTCTGGGAAGCCTGTTCCAGTGCTTGACAATCCCTTCTGTGAAAACATTTTTCATAATATCTAATCTGAACCTTCCCTGGTGCACCTTAAGGCCATTTCCTCTGGTCCTGTCTCTTGTTACCCATGAGAAGAGACTTACCTCACCTGGCTACAAGGTCCTTTCAGGGCTGTAGTAGGTTGTAGTTGTAGAAAGCCATAAGGTTCCCCCTCAGACTCATTTTTCCCTCAACTCCTTCAGCTGCTCCTCACAAGACTTGTGCTCTAGACCCTTCACCAGCTCCATTGCCCTTCTCTGGACTTGCTCCAGACCCTCAATGTCTTTCTTGCAGTGAGGGGCCCAGGACTGAGCACAACACTCGAGGTGTGGCCTCACCAGTGCCCAGTACAGCGGGACCATCGCTTCTCTGGTCCTGCTGGTAGCAATAGTTCTCATAAATGCCAGGATTGGCATCCCTGGGCATGTGGGCAGAGCTGGCTCGTCTTCAGCTGCTGTTGACCAGCACCTCCAGGTCCTTTTCTGCTGGGCATCTTTCCAGACATTTCCCCCAGCCTGTAGTGCTGCCTGGGCTAGTTGTGACCCAAGGGCAGGACACAGCACTTGGTTGTGTTGAATTTCATACAACTGGCCTTGGCCCATCAGTCCAGCCTGTCCAGATGCCTCTGCAGAGCCTTTCTACCCTCCAGCAGATCAACACTCCTGCCTGGAAATAAGATGTAGGGTTGATTAGCCTATCTTTCCATCAGATAAAATAACTCCACATTTTTGTGAAGACCTTCAAAAACATCAGCTGATCCATTCTGACACAAATATACTGTGCATTGAGTTTAAAACTTTTCCACTAGAAGAACATTTCTTAGTCATTTCAGATGAAAATCAGGAGTATTACCTTTAATATTACCACATTTGAAAGTAAACTTGCTTTCAGATTCCTTTGAAGGAATGAGATCTTCTAGCATTCACAAATGGCCCAAGAGACAGGTAGCATATTAAATGAATAATTTTGACCTCAGTAAGTGGTTTTATTTCAAACATGTCTTAAGCCAAAAATACTAAGCTTCCAACAATTAAAAAATATTCTCATATTCCAAATAACATTCTAACTTTTACTTTCAGGAAAAATCTAGTTTTAAAACATTTCACTTTTTCAATATAATGCATGGGATGATAGAGTTGCAGGAGTTTTTAGAACTGGGGGACTGGAGAAGTTAAAATCAGGATAGAATGCATCATTTAGGGGATAGAATTTCCCAAGCCAGACGACTGTTCAAGTTGAGGTGGAGTCTGCCTGACAGATAATATATAGCTTTTCCTTCCCAGTCCTAGCATCATAAGAGTCATAATAAAATAACTTTTATAACTTTGTAACAGAGATAGGTCTGGCACTCTGCTAGCTAGTGAGATGTCCCCAGGACACTAGAAAAACATCAGTCTCGGACTAAAAATTTGCTGCTGTGACATCTGTGCACCTGGGAATGCATTGCTAAGTTTCTGTAATTGTGAAATTCTTGTTTTGTATATGGATCAATGTGCACAACACAGCAACAATTCAGACTTCCAATGCTCCACGATTCACTATTGCCTGCTATTTATTCCATCCCCATTTCATACTAATAATTGTTGTAGATATTAAAAAAATACATTGTTGTAACTTCCAGCAAATGATCAAACAAATCATTTTGCTGAGAAAAAGTGATATTGCTTATATGAGGCTCTCAGATACTTGAAGGTGGAGTAAGAAGAACAAGATTAGGTTCTAACAGAGATTTGATCGCTGTCATCTCAACAACAAGATGTTGACAGCTAGAATAAATAACTTCTCAGGAGCAACTTGTTAAACTGGGTTAAAAGAGGATCTGTAATGATGTGGCCTTCTTTAATACCTCCTGCCAATCAGATTATATTTTATTACTCAGCTGAACTGTACAGTATGATTCAGTTTGTGTGAAACTAGAGGGTGTCACAAGATACAGACACTCATATTTCCTGGATGCAATTTGGCAGAAAATGTGGATAAAAACAACAGCATGCTGGTGTCAGAAGAAAAGACAAAAGGCTTCTTGAGAGTTATTTAGGGCTAGCAGAGTGCTGGTCTAAGATCTATAAAATGTTCTCTGTGCTTCTGTGGCACACATCAACAAAATTTTTGGAAGTAGTGCATATACATCAGCTCATATTACCATTAAATGTCCTTGAGAGTAAGTTACAGGGCACCATCAGCCTCTTCAACAAGTGCTTCCTGAACTAGGAGTTGAAAGACTTCAACTACCAAATTCAAACCCACCCAAATGGTGAACAAGAAATTAATAGTGTTGCTCAGAAAAGGGTTGTAGAGCAGAACAGGCATGAAAATTTCACAGCAGGACTAGTACTATTGGTGGTCCTCTGAAGCTGTGCCCCTGGCTTGCAGAAAACAGAGACTGGAAGATGCAGAAGGGTGCATCCAAATGAGACATCCTGGGCAGCATGGCAAGTTACAGCCTTACCGGAAATCTTATGTTCCTTTTCCTTCAACAACTGCCTTTGTTTCACGCACAAGGCTCTGTATATTTTTTCATTAATTTAAATATCTGTCTGTTCTGCTTCATTCCTATTTACCATTCCACAGGCATTTATGTCAATGCCAGTGTTTTTAGCAATGGTTTTGTGTGTAATCATGGATGAAATCATTAAGTAGTAACTAAGCAATGATCCATGAGGAAGTTCTTGTAGAAGCACAACCCAGTCACTATGGCTAAAAACCTGTGCCCAAGCATTTTAGATAAATCCTAATTACTATTTAAAATGTGCTCTATTACTAGAATGCTATTTTAACCTTTTAAAAATTAATGTTTTTCTAGTTTATTGCATTTTTGGCTTTATGGGCCTATCTGCCTCCTGAAACAGTGCAAGAAAACTTACATTCTCAGAATAAGTCAGTACAGCTTGATAAGGACACTACCAGTACTGTATGGAGTGACTGAGTCACTGAGGCAGATTAAAGAACACAGATCTTGACCTGCTTTTGCAACTACCAGAAAGAGAAATCTTTACCAAATCTGGTGGTTAACAAATAACATGCTTTTGTCAGGTATGAGTTCCTTTCAGTTACAGTTCATGTCTCTCTTTCCCTCATGCTAACTCAGGGTTTAATTTCTTTCTTTCCCTCATCTTAACCCATTCATGTCAGAGATATCTTGTGCTCTCAGGAAAACGTATCATGTGTTTAAAGCAAAATTACCAAATGAATGAAAAATACTTTTTTTGCACTATCCTTGTTTTTTTGCTGTGAGTTGAAGAAAAGGGAGGTGAAATGAGAGATAAGGAAAGAGCTGCTCTAGTGCCTTTTGTTTCAGATCATAAAATAAGACGATGGGTTAGGGAATGGTTGAAGGATTTAAACACTGAGAGGCAAGTACAGAAAGGATTTTCTCCTATAAACGTGCATGAAATGCCTTCGAAATCTTTTGGTGTGTTCTAACTTGGAAAAAACACTTGATTTGTAGCTGAGCTTATCCTATATTAACAGGCATGCTGACATTAACTTGGGGAAGAAAGACTGAGAATCCTTCTCTGTCTCAGGCAAGTTATTAAGATTCACAGTAAACCTTTGCAGGAAGAGAAAACAACTGTGAACAGCAGAGCCTGAGTTTGCTGAAGGACTCTGGGCTGTGCCAGTGCCCCGGGGGCAGCACGTTCAGGGTGGACGTGCCTGTCTGTCACCAGTGAGCATCCTGAGGGACTCCTGGGGGATGGAAAGGAAAAAACCTGTATATTTAGGGAGGCTATGCCAGTAAAGTAATCAGCCCTCACTCTCCAGCTCCAGGGTTCTCTACAGAGCTGCCTAAACCTATTTTCAGTGATGCCCCGCAGCTTTCCAATGCTCCCAGTCCACCAAGGCTCACACTGCAGCAGCTGCTCATAAACATGTGAAACCAACAGGAAAGGACAAGGAACTTCCAAGGACTTAACACCGAATTTCTAAAGTTTTGGAACTTGCTTTGATTTTCTCCACAAAAAGTTGGAGAGATACTCCTTTTCTGAGAACATCCAGTCAAATGCTCCTGGCAGAACTGAAGGATAACACAGAGATTTTATCAACCTGGGCAGAGTCAGAATAATTTAAACTTCAGTGATCTTTCATAGGTAGTAGTCATGACAGTCTGGGTTTTGTGGAAAGTTTTCTTTAAATTTAGAGCTAAATTCTGTTGCGTGGAAAAACAAAATGTCAGGGGAAGCCACAGTTATTCTGATGGTATCTTCTTCTAGAATATCAGAAAAAACATTGGAATCTTATGCTGAATTTTATCCTATCTTCTTTCTACAGGGCTGGAAACAGCGGTGTTCTGACTGGTGCCTTTTCACAGCTGCATGAGAGCCCTTCCACCACTGCCCACCACCCTTCCAGCAACTGCACCGCCTATGTAACACCAACCAGGGCTGCAGGGAGGGGAGACACAGAACCTCTTAATTTATCTTTCCTGGCCTGATGAGTCCTCATCTGTTTACCTCTGAATCTTTGACAACACTGTTTTCACACTTATTCTCAAATACCCAAATACATCATGTCCTGGGATGACCACAAACTATAGCATAGTTACTGGGATTACATTTCTTCTATCCTCCTTTTAAAAAGAGATACCATATTTGCTGGTTTGCGGTCCTCTAATATAACCTATGATTTTATGAACTTCCAAAAAGCCTTTTTCTACAATTTATTTTTTTTAAATCTTAGAAAGGCTTCTAGTATATCATTATAGAAAATGGAGGACTTGTATTCATCGACCTTTAGGCCATACTCAGTCTGTCCTTAATAATTTTCTCCGCTCTGAATGCATAGCAGCTAATTCCTTCTGATGTTTTGTTGTATGAATCTTTGTTTGTTTTGTTTCCCCCCAATTTTCTTTGAGAGGTCTGACTCACTGTGGGAGATCGTCAGAACTGTACAGTTCTAGAATTGATTATACTAGTTGGGGAAAGCATGATCTGGGCTCCTGATTCCCTGGCTCAAGCAAGGCTTAACAACAGAAGGATATCTGGAGCAAGGTGGGAGGTCTCACAGGTGAGAAAAGGCACAGAAGAACACCCAGAGATCTGAACTCCCCCTTCATCCTGAAAACCGAGCCTTGATGTAAAACTTGTCCATTAAGGGATAAGTCTTTGTGTAAAAACTCTCTGGCCAAGGTCAGACAGTCTTCACTGCTGCCCATAGTACACCATTATTCCATCCATTTGGGAAGGGACAAAAATGTGTAGTACGAAAGGGTGGGTTCAGAGCAGAAAGGGTCACAGGGGAAAAGCACTTCTGCCTGTTCAGGATCAGTTGGCAGACTGTGTCTCTCCTCCTCTCCTGCAAAGATGCCTTTAGGTGAGTTTTGCACCTCCAACTTTTTTGGAGCAGACCTGGGAACATCCATTTCATAAAGTGTGTGTGTGTGTATATACACACGTATGCAGCATTGATAGGTGTCTGTTGCCATACTTCCTGCAGTGACATGGATTAACACTCTGTCATTGCTTCATTTGTCACCAGCAATCCTGAGCCTCCTTGCCTGTTGCTTCGATGAACTGTGCTGTTCATGAGCCCAGGCTGTGCAAGTCCTTATTGAATACAACCAGACCTGAATTGGTAAACTGCATTTTTTGTGAACCTGTACTTGTGAAAGCTCTTATTGAATTTAACTAGACATACCATGCTGACTTAACTACAATCAGAAGTTAAACCTAGTCACACTCAGCTCCTCTGATCTTTGAAGACCAGCTGCAACCGAAGGTGGTTTATTTTCTGCTAAATTTCTATACCTTTAGCACAAGACTCATTTTTTTGAGTCTTGTTCTATTTCAATACTTTGCAACACTTTAGTTCTCTGTATTGATCACGTCTTTCTTCCTTTCCCTATAGCCTTATTTCTTAGCCTTACTATTTCCCTTCAGGTCTGCAGCTGATCTTTCCAAGGTTTTTACCTCTAGGCTGGTATATATGTCTTAAACATTTCTGCCTCTGAGATATAGAGTCTGTCATCTTTAGCTAGTTCCTTCAGTTAAAATAATCCCTTTTGAAAGTGCAAATCTTAAATACAGAAGGTTTTCGCTATCGATACTTCCCAACTGGGGTGCTGAACTTGAGATATGGCACTAAGTGATGTTGGTTTGGGAGGTGATACTAATTAGCTGCAAATCCCATGGAAGAGAGGGAAAGCAAGGCTAATGCAGTACCCTGACTCAGGTCTGCCACTGTCCACCCCTAAATTCCCCTTTTCCCTCAAACCAGAAGAAGCACCCAAGTGGTAAAGTAACAGACATTTTGTGTTTATTAGTGGCTTTCCTCTTAGCTTACCCTATAGGAACAAAGGAAAATAATGTTCTGAATTTTTAAGAAAATGAGGCATTTAGAGGACAAGCAATTTTCTGCAGAGAAGGGATTTGGTTTACCACGATGTTAGACATACCTCAGGTTTTTGGAGACAAAAGCCGTGGCTGAACCAGCCTCACCACAATGCCTTGCACTTCAGATAAATGCATCCCTGAGGACAACAGGTTCAAGCTAATGCTAGACATGGATCACAAGCTGAGTGTCAAGCATGATCAACTCCAGTAAAAGTGATGTATGAGGCAAGAACAAATGAACAAAAATTGTCTAAACCAGACAATGAGAGAATTAATGATAACAGTCCATAGCACAACTGTAGTGAAGATGGGAGAAATCTATGCAGGAATAAACAGGAAAAAAAGGAATGGACTTGAATTTCTTCAAGAAAGTCTTAAAACATGGTAAAAATATATCTTTCATATGTATATACTGAAAAATGGTAAGAATTGATTGGCAAGGAAATCTGCAACACCTCCACTATTGGAGTTCTCTAAAAACAGATTAAATAGATTTAAATAGCTTTTCTCAGGAGAGTTCTGGTTGTCATTGATTTTGCCTTGAGAATGATAAACAGATTATATCAGCCCCAGGGAACCTTCCAGACCTATGACCCCATGGCAAAACTGAGAAATCTAGGAAGGTCTGGTCTCTCTTGTACTTGCCCATTCATTCTTTCTCTAGATACAGACTCTTCACCATGGAACTATGCAAGTAAAATAAATTCAACCTTAGCAAATGTAACAGTTGAGGTCTTGATATCTTCTGCTTTGATGAGAAAACACAGCTTAGTGAAGGCCAAAATAAAGTTGCTGGAGCAACTCCTTGTTGTACACAGTGGCATAAATAATTCTTTTTCACAATGTGTGGTACCAGCTGGAGATCATTTTGTTTCCTAAAATCTACAGGGCTTATTATCTTTATCTTGGCAGGTTACCATTTTGATATTGCTCCTTACATCCCCTCCCTCAGTATTATTCAGATAAAAACCAAAGACTTTATTTTCCTGATAAGTTCCCCATCAATGCCTCTATTCTTCCTCATCAATTCATTTTCTTGGTAATTTTAGCTGGCCTTTCTAAAATGGCCATCATTGCTATTCATATGGATCTTCTATAATATCTAATTACATATGACTATCATACACAGGAGTTTGTATGAAAGCCTTTTATATTTAAGTTCTATAATCCAGCTCTATAATTAGAGCCATCAGATGGTTTTAAATCTCTGTCTGCCATTAATTTTACCATTACCAGTTCACCAACCTGCAGCAGCCACTGTGGCTGTTCCCTTTCTGGGCTGCAGGCTACAGTGGGATGAGGCTGAAGAAGTCCTGCCCATGTCATCCTGCTCATCCCACCCAAAAAGGACAAGGAAATTGCAGCTTGGCCTCCCCACAGCAAAAAAAGTGGTTCAGAACAGATACATTTTCTTCACAGGTCTCCCCACACTGAGGTATATTTGTGCCCTGCTCCCATTCAGAACCTTTACACTTTAATGTTTTACAAAAACATTGCCATTTCTACATTTATGCTAAGGGAGTTTATGAGATAGTGTTTTTGGGATAGTAAAATGTTTTAATTTAAGGCCATTTCATATAAGAAAGTGGAAAATTACTTTCTGTGGAAAAGGTTCATAATTTTCTATTTTTTCTTTGAAGACAAAGGTTTCAGTATACTTTAAATTAGTTTTGCTTTTCAGCTGTGAACAAGATGAAAAAATCAGTCATGGATACCCTGGTCATCTGGGGAGAGCACAAGCCATCACTGAGGACAAACAGAGGAACAGAAAGAAATTTAGAAAATTTAACCTTTTTATAAGACACCAATTTAATACACAGAAAATTATGTTTATGGTAGGGAAACATTAAAAATCTGACAGAATATGGATGCTAAAAGAGTAAGTAATCAATTGTTCAGCATGGGGAAAGATAAGATGACATTGGCTTAATTTGCAGCAAAGGACACTTAGGTTTGACTTTAGGAGAACCTTGCTAATTCTAACAATAGAAAAATACTGTTAAAGACTACTCAGAGAGATGGCAGAATTCCCAATGGAAAGTTTCAAGAACATATTTCCAGAATGGCTTTGGTATGTTTGGTCCTGCTTCATTATGGAAAGATAACCTGACCCAGCCTTTTATTGCTCTGAGCTCCCTTCTCTGTATTATTTCAAGGAGACAAAAGGGAAGCTGCGAAAAACTTTGTCAAACTTTATTTTCAGGTCAAATTGAAGTTTCTGTCTTGGAGAGTTTTTATGAAGAACAGATCAAACTATTTTCCCCCAAGTGTTAATGGTGATTATCTTTCAAAATTTCTAATTTTTAATGCATTTCCAAGAGTAGGAAAAAACCCATCTCTTTGTAATTCAGTGTGAGAGACTTTTTACCTGGGCTGTAAGTGGGGGTGAACTTCTCTTTCTGGGTTTGGCTGCCATGTGAGCCTGGGAATGCACCACACATTTTGGCTGATCAGGAAGACTAAGTGCTTTTCTCATAGTCCTAAGACTTGTACTGCAGGAAGAAAGTCTTTAGTAAATTGGATGTAGATAACAGCATCTCTTCCAACTTGGCATCACCTCAACCAGTTCAGAAGAGACCATAAAGCCCATTACCATAAGGGAAAAGGGCAATTAACTGGCTAACTAAAATGAACAGAGAGCTACCTCCTTCACACCTGGAGGTACGCTCCACTTCTGTGTTTGAGGCGGTGTTGGGTACCATAGAGGGAAAGGTGAGAAAAATAATACCTGATTAGATCATTTAATGATTTCTTCTGCACCCTGCAGAATAATTCCCAGGAACTGAGAGCAGCTGCCCCTGGGTGCAGGTTTCCAGATGCTGTGTGTGTTGCATCTTGCCACTTGGCAAGTATACTCATCCTCCCAGTGCCTGCTGACAGGTCTGGCCCTGCAACCATCTGGCTTGCAAAGTAATGAGACCAAATGAAATGGAGCTTGAAGAATTAACATTCTTTCCTTAATCCATTAATAACTGAACAGTGTTGATTTTGGTGACAGCTAGATACTTTATTGTGAAGCAGACTGGTTAATTAGAAGCATTGTAAGGAAGGTTATATTGGATATGTGTATCCCTTCAGAAACACACATTTTTGATAAGGAGAAGTTGGTTTTGCTCACAATCTTAAATAGTCACAGAAAATGCTAGGTGTAAAAAAGACAACAACATTTTTAAAAAAATTACTATTTTCTCCAGCTCTCGGTTACTGCTTTCTTCCTATTCAAAAGATCTCTCTATTTTTAATGTGGCTACCAACTAAAAGCTATCAGTATACAAAAGGAGGCATCAGACACATGCAGATCTCTG